ACATGATCATGGCTCATTGCAGCCTTGAATTCCTGGACTCAAGCAATTCTTTCACTTCAGCCTTCCAAGTAGCTGGGATGACAGGCAGGTACAACCACACGTGGCTGATTTTTTTGTGTGTGTGTGTGGAGACAAGGTCTTGCTATGTTGTCCAGACTGGGGCTTTTTGCCTTTTGATAGTTGCTCCATTTTTTTTTTTACCCAGATTATTTGTTTAGATTGAGGAAACCACCAAATGTTTAAAGGAAATGGGAATGAATAGAAGGGACAATGACAAAGTCAAGATATTGGCTGAAAGTGATGATGAGTAGAATAATATGCCTTGAAATTGAAGTGAAATGGAGAGGTTAGATTTAGACAGTACCAGGGACAGAAAGGAGGAGGTGGGTCCAAACTAGGGAAAGGAATGGTAAAGCCAGGAGTTAATATCTAATAAGCCCCCCATGAGAAAAGTGAATCTGAAAAGAACTGTGATCAAGACATTTTTTATATTGTTTTCTTCGAATCTTTTTCTCCATGCTATGAATACGTTCTGTGTGATTTACTTTAGCACTAGTTACTGTTCTACCTTATCTTTAGAGAACTGTAATTTCTAAACAAGGAGTCCTAGTAGACTGAAGAAACAGAATTTTTTCAATTATCAGTTGCTGTATTAAAAAAAACCCCAAACCTTAGTGAATTAGAACAAAAATGATTTATTACTTCTCATAATTCTGTGAACTGACTGGTTGGTTTTTCTGCTGGTCTCACCCGGACTCACTCATGAGGCTTCATTCAGTTGGTAGTCAGCAGAGGCAACTGAGATGGCTAGGCCTCTCCCTCCACATGGTCTGTTACCTCTGGTTTTTCATGGTGTAGTGGTCTCAAGACATTGTTCCAAAGGGTACAGGAACAATGTTCAAAGGGTGCAGGGCCTGAGGACTAGGCTTGGAAGTTGAATAATGTCATCTGCCACATTTCTGTTTGTCAAAACAAGTCACAAGAGAAACCCAGATTCAAGAAGTGGGGAAAATAATTGCCATTTCTTGATGTGAGGATTGGGCAGTGACATTGCAAAGGGATATGAACACAGGGAGTTGTGATTTTTGGGGGGCCACTGTTGTAAAAATCTGCAATAGTCTACCCTTAAGCCTCAGTGATTTATGTCTCTCCCACATGATTCTCACCCTCCCAAGATTGCCCAAGTCTTATCCTATCACAGTATCAAGTTCAGAATCCATGATCTCATGATCTGCCTCAGGTGAAGATGTCAATGCAAATCCATGTTTTGATTCTAACATCTGTGAACTAAAAAGGCAAGTTATTCCCCTATTTCTTTACATATTCATCATATATTAGAGAAGCAGGAAAACCACATTAGACAATGATGCCCAAAAAGGGAGGAGAGACTTATTTATTACTGGTCAATGGCAATTTGGAAATCCAGTCATGTGCATGTCAGAAGGTTTACCTACACCAGGGGTATGCAATGTTTATTGATAGGGGCCCAGTTCTACCACCTGGAAGTAGTTCCCTAATCTATTGTTCTCCTTGTCTCTTGCCAATATCATCTGGGTTTGACTTTGTCCTCTGAGTTGTCCTTCCCCCTACTTAAGAAATGACCCATGTTTGTGGTTGAGTAGCTTTCTCATTCTGCCTCCTATTCATAGAAAGATGGCAGCCTGGAGCCCTCTTTTCATTTTGAACTGTCTCAATTTCTTTTAGTACTAGCTAGTGGAGTTTTACTCAACACAACACTTTAAAAAATTTTATGAATTTTCTATGAATCTAAGGGAATTCGCTCCATGCCCCCCAAACACATGGATAATTCTTTTTGAGGCAGTGGGCTATAGTGCTAGTTTCTTCTCTACCACAAAATTCCTCTATCTCAGTGGAGGGGAAATAGTAAATCAAATCTCTAGTGTTCATAAAATGGTGTGTTCACATTATGTAAATTGATGTGCCCCATAAAATGTGCATCAGTCAAATTTTTGCAAAGAAAATGAAGTTTAAGTCATCATAGAAACTTGCTGATTAAAATCAACCTATTGTGAATCCTTTGGTAAAGTCCAGAGTTGCAGTGGTGTGGACAGGAGAGCTCTGGAGTCAGACCTGCATTTGAATCCTACTCTGCTCTGTGACACTTATTCTCACTTAGTGCCAGTTTCCTCATCAGTAAAACAGGAGTTACAAATATTCTGTGCTTGCTCTCTTGTTGGGATGTTACGAAGACTGAAGATAAAATATGTAAAGAGTCTAGTATAGTTTTCTCCTCTTGCTCAGATAAAATTATAATTCTAACTACAATTTGTTAAACTGAGTGAGACTTCAGTCCCCTTCCAAGGCTAACTTCATATCAAACATTTTTGATGGTATACTCATTTATATATATATACACACTATATATTTACTTTTTATTTATTTATTATGGTGAATTACTGCTCTACTATATGTATATTTATTTATTACTATTATACTATGTGCATTATAAAATATATTCCCAAAATAAAAATAGTAAAGGAGATTTTTTTAAAACCTCATGTAAGTAGAAGGTCTAATGTTTTCTTCCTGCACCTAGTAGTTTGTGTTTTTTCACAGAGAGTGCTGGAATTCGTGGCAATTTTAGGGGGAAGTGATGAAACGGTGTTACAAATCTCCAGTAATCACTAGCATTTTTTTAAATGGTATAAAACAACCTACTAGAAAATATTATGGGATGTACTTTTGGCAACAAAATGTTTCTCCAGTAATATAAGACTTCGTTTTCTTTAGGTGAAAATCTAAAAGCCTGAACTTTAGGAAAAAAATACATTTTTAAATAAGTTTCAGAACTGTTTTGGATTTCATTTCTGCTGAAAATAATGACCAATTATCTTTATCTTTTTTCCATGCTTTAAGTTACTGAGCAGTTAATTCCTTCAGTTATACTCTTACATTTCCTCCCATCTCCCTAATTATTTTATCTGCACTTCTACCTTTGATTACTGTTTTTGGCCCAGTAATTTTCATGTTACTCTTTGACCACTGACAGTTAGATTTTCTGGTCCAGTGTATAATATAAACTTTATTTCATTTAATATCCATAATTTTCTCCTCTTGCTCAAACACACATCACATTTTGTATTTCTTCTCTGTCTGCACATTCTGTACATACTAACTCTAATTTTATTCTATGTACTTTGGGGAATATAATAATGGGAATCTACCAAATCACATTACTTTTTCCAATTTCCTTTTTCTAGTTGTGATAATGGAGTTTAAAAATTACTAGACATTTACCATGACTGTAATATCAGTCATAGTGTCTGCTTTCTAATACACAAAATGTAATTAGGCTAAGTAATTTGCTTTGAAGAAACTTGAATTGAGAGATATCATACTATAGGCAAAGAATTAATAAATTCTAATAACATGAATTTTCTAATTGTGTTTTATTTGCCATAGTTCTTTTAAACTACTAATTTACATGTAATGTTATCTTGAAGGTGTCTTAAATTCTTTAAAGAAGATCATTTCATATAGTATTATTTTTACTATATAGCTAACATTTATTAAACACTAATATGTATTAAGTACTGTGCTAAATATGTGAACTAGCTCACTTGATTATCATAACAAATTAATAAAATAGGTACAAAATCAGAGCTAGAACATAACCCGTTTGACTTAAAGACCATATGGTGGACCATGATGCTATGTTGCCTCTGATAATGAATATTCATGGTCCCCAAATGATCACTTGACAAACTTGAGATAAATCTTCATTTGTAATAATATTCTTATTTTAGTATAATCTATTTCATATCCTGAGCCTAAGGAGCAATTCTAATGCATACAATAGTATCAAATATATATACTCTTCTAAAGAATTTGGAATACTTTATTAATGCATGACTCATCATGCAGTTATTAAATTTTTATTTAAGATTTGCCGGTTATTTCTCTAGTTTAACAGAAGACTAATATCAAAGCACCTGGAACTAGTTTCTGTAAGGTCTTGCTTACAAAATAAACAGAACTGATAAGGAATTGCAACACTGCTGCCAAATGCCGATGTTATTCAGTGAGGGAAAGAATAAAATATATCAATAAATACAGTGTCAGCGATAACAGAAAATTCATGATTTGCTCTTAAAGTACAAGCTTGTAACATTTTGGAAATATAAAAATTTCAACTATCCCATATTGACCCTGAGACAAATTCTCTAATCCATGAAATGTGAACATATCACCTATTTCTATGCTATACTTCCTGAAACATATATGATCATTTTTACAATGCATTAAATCAGTTTACAGTAATTGAAAATTATCAGTCCTAATAATGTAGTAAAGTTGACATATCATGATGTGTTATCTGTCATCTCAAGTTTTCAAAGACTTGTTTTTCTAAGTATGTAAGAAATTTCAAGCATTATGAAAAAGTTAAATATACCAATAATTATGTATGTATGCTACATGATATATATATATTTTATTAAAAGATTCACTAAAAATTTGTTGAAAATTATTTTTTCAAATTCCAAGACCTAATGTAATTATCAGTCTACATTTCTCAGATGTTTGTATTCTTCAATTAATTTTTAGTAGCTCTCTAACATATGGATTAGACTCTAAAAGTAAAAAAGATTGTATTTCTTCTGTATTTTAATATCTTCTATTAATAGATGGCATTCATTTGCATAGATACTTTTAATTAAATACATTTCTAGCTCAGAAAGTTTTCTACTATTATAACTTGCTCTATTATCTGTAGAACCCTTTCATTTTATTAACTCAATTTCAGAATGCTTGATTAAAATATTTATATTATTTCTGGTGTCAGTTATGTCTTTATAAATTATCAGTGAAGGAATTGTTCTTAACATATTATTAGTAACTCTAAGTTGTAAATTATGTTTGACTATTATTTTTAGAGTTCTAAAAGTTTTCTAGGGAGTTTTTTTAGCAAGATACTATAATTAGTGAAATTTTAAAAAGAAAATATTTTCAAATTTTATAAACATTTTTGTACATTGCAGCTATTGAAGCAGAAAAACATAAAAGACAAAAAGAAAGAAATGTCACCACACAGGTAAATATTTTGCTAAGTTGTTAAATTTTTTCAATATAAAATTTAGATCATAGGCACTATTATTTATTCAGCATGTTCAGAATTTCTTAAACAGGTAATTATTAACCATTGTTTCTGTTATTTTTTTGGAAAATTATCAATCAGTATTATCCCTTCATTCATTCAACAAACTTTTACTTAGTCTCTGTGAGAGGATAAGACTGTCATCAGGTCTGAGTCTTCTCTTAGTCATGGCTTCCCTGAGGTTCTAAATATTAAGACACAAAGGGCAGAGACCAGTCTGGTTCACAGTGCCACAGATGTTTATTAACCTTTAAACTGTATTAACCTCTCGATGTATTCTGACATGTTGGAAGTAGGCAATTCTAATTTTCAGTCTGTTCTCAATCCAGGAACCTGTCTACTCCTGTAAATGTAAGTAGTTTCAAGTTAACTCCTTTGCTTGAATCTCTTTAGTGGCTTCCTGCCTCACACAGAGTGAAACCAAGGTCATTACAATGGCTTGCTTACTGGGCTCTGTGGTCTGGCACCCCTGTTTTTCCTCTGATAGCAGCTCTTACTACAGTCTCCCTTATATCATTCCAGACACACTGGGTTCCATGCTGTTCCTCAGAAAGCCCAGTCATGTGCCTGCCTTTCTGCTTGGAATTCCTTTGCACCCAGATATCCATGTGGCTCCCTCCCTCACCTTCTTTAGGTCTTTGTTCAAATGTCATCTTTTCAGAGGGTCCTTCACTGGACTGTCTCTAAATTTGCACTCACTCCATCTAAAATTGCAAACTCCATCACAACACCTTCTCCTCATTCCCTTCCCTGCTGTATTTTTTCTCTCAGAATTATCACCATGTAACATACAGTATTTTATTATGTTTGTTGTCACTCTCCCTCCACTAGAATGTAAGTTTCATGAGAGCAAGGAACTTCATCTGTGTTGTCCACTGCTGTCATCCCCAGTCACTAGAACAGTACCTGGTGCATAGCAGGCATTTAGTAAATGCTTATTGAATTAACAAATAAATCTTACATTCAAATGTAGGTAGTAAACTGTGAGAAATGTTTACATAAATTAAAAACTCCTTTTTTACATTGTGACATTTTCCAAACCTTTTTTTTTTTTTTTTTGAGTTGGAGTCTCACTCCGTTGTCCAGACTGGAGTGCAGTGGCCGCTCCCGGCCACTGCAGCCTCGACCTGCTGGGCTCCTGCGATCCTTCCGCCTCAGCCTTCCAAGTAGCCGGAATTACAGGCACGCGCTACCACGCCCGGCTGATTTTTTTATTTATTATAGAGATGAGGTTTTGCTGCCCAGGCGGGTCTCGAACCCATGGGCTCAGGCAATCCACTCACCTCAGCCTCCCAAAGGCGCAGGATTACAGGCTGAGCCACTGAGCCCGGCTTCTAAACCTTTTTAAAGAGAAATTTACTTTCTCTTCTATCACTATAACTACCACATCCCATAATTAGCAGTGGGGTTACTATCAGCAGAAATAGAAATGAGCTTCAACTAAATCTCATAGTTTGTCCTCAGGCAGGTAGAGATTGAAAGGACATCCATTTCATCAGGTCACCTTTCTCTTGTGGGTTCTTGACATCTTGTGATGTGCAGTGCGTTTTCAGTAACACTTGAAATCATCCCTACTGCTTGACATTAAGGATGCTGCTCAGATTCATAAGTGCCCAGCTTTAGTAGAAAAGGCCTATAGAGTAAATATGGGAAAGTATCCCTCTCTACTCAGGGAAAGTCTAGGCACAAAAGAAAACTAGAAAGTACTCTAAGAGATCTCAGAATATTGGAAAGTATCAAAAATAAAACAAAAATGAAAATACTTCCTTTGTGTCAAAAATAAAGGGTAAATATTCCAGGGTAGCCTGTTTGTAGACTGTGTATCACACACATTTTATAATGCATTGATCTGCATTATAAAAACTTCCTTAGCACCAGTTTCATAGAATACAGACTGCAGAAATGAAAAGACCAAAGGTTACAAATGACTCTATTGCAGAATTCCCTTACATTCATACTGCACTACAGCCAGAATAAAGTACCTGTAGTTCACTGAACTTGCCATATTGTTTCATGGCTCCTCGGCATTGAATAGAATACTCTCTGGCTGAAAACACCTTATCCCCATCTCTACCCTCACTGTAGACCTCCAAGGTTATTTTTATAGTTATCTTTCATAATAATTACCATACATTATAATTTTTTTTAAAAACCACTCACCTGAATAGAGCTGTTCTTTCCCTAGTTATTCTCTCTTTCTGGCTTTACAACTTTACAGTTCACCAAAAAAAAAAAGGTAATTTGTTCCTCTATCCCCCAGCACACACTTTTTAAAAGGACACTTGCACACTTCAAAAAAAGCTGAAAGATGCTTTGTCTTGTGTTAAGGATCTTGTATTTTCAGGAGTTCTGTGTATTATTTCCTTGAGTATTAAAGAATGATCATGATCACAGAAATAATATTCCTCCCCAACCCAGGTATTCAATGCACTACCAGGGAGTAACTGAGGAATTAAGGAAGCAATTCTAGGATATGGCTCAGGGGCCATTATGACAACCACCATCACCAAGAACAATGATGAAAACGCGAAAACATGGAAAAAGTAGCCTGGTTCTCATTGTTGAACCCTTTCACCAGAGTGCTCAATTCCTTCTATGCTTCACATAAATAGACACATTTTTCTCATTTTCAGATTAACATTTTGGCCCAATATATAATCAGACTTTTAAAAAACATATTTGGTACCTCCATTCACGACATTATATTCAGAATCATATTGCAGTTACATAACATTAAACTTTATAAAACACCTTCACATGTACCATTTATTTCTTCTAACATCTTTGTGAAAGATGTTAATTGGTTGTAAACTATAAGTAATTGGTTATTTAAGTGGTTAATGGTTATCTGTTTTGCAGATTAGAATAATTAAGCTCATTCAAATGTTAAGAGATCTTTGTATTATAAATTTTCAATACAACCATTCATTCAACACAATGCCTACCATATATTATATACAGTAATTAGATTTGAAGTTTCCCAAATTTTTTTTAGTTTTGTGAAACCTCTATTTGATATTACTTAACTTGATTGTGACTTCTGACAGGTGAGACAGTATCTTTTTCATCTTTTTTTAGTGTGATGTGTTGTGTATAGTAGATACAATAAAAGTTTATGGGTTTAATTAAATACGCTACTACTGTCTATTTAAGACTTGGTTATAAAATGTGTGTATTTTCAGCCAGGCATGGAGGCTCAAGACTGTAATCCCAGCACTTTAGGAGGCAGAGGTAAGAGGATTGGTTGACCCCGCAGGTTCGAGAACAGCCTGGGCAACTTGGTGATACCTTCATCTCTACAAAAAATCAAAATATTAGCCGTGCCGGGGTCCAGCTCCAGCAGGTTCAGGGTTTCCCGAAGGATGAGCAGCATTGGTGAAGGAGTGAACACAGACCCAGTGCTTGTGTGGTACTGCTCGTTTATTGCTGGCAAATCTGTGATTTATATACCTTTTTGTTACATAGTCTTTTGGGTGACATACTTGAGAAATCTTTTCTTGACATTACTCAAATTCTCCAAAACAAGTTTCTTGAAACATTAATGATGGTTATGTGCAACTTTCTGAGTGTTTTTCTCATATTTTTATGGTTAGGTGGACAGTCATGTGAAACCTTTCACATACTCTTCTCATTCTTTAGCAATTAGATACAATCACTTTTCTTGAAGCTTTGAAACAAAACTTAGATGATTATTCCTTTAAAGCTAAACACACTCATAACACAAAAACACCATTACCCTATACTTGAATACCCATTACCTTTCAAAATTAAACATAATCTATGTATTAAAACTAATATTTAATCTTTTCCTAGAAATCACGTAACAGCAAAAGTTAACCTGTTATATATTTAACTATGGCCAGGTACACTCTAGCAAATGTTTTCTGTCACAAGGAACTAAACTTTTATTTGTGTAGCTATAGAAAAACCAATTTCCAGAACAATGACATTTCTTGGGGTTCTGCCAGTACAAACTGCACAACAATCTACAATTAGTGGGCCTCCATCTGCAGCCCCAGTTTCTTAACATACTGTTGATTCCCCTTAAGGGGGTAAAAGATTTATCTAGTAATTTGATGAAAATTTCTGACCTCGTCACTTCAAGATGGGCAATTATCTTTCCTCTCTGTGCTATAACTGCAGGGTGAATTGATAAAATTTCCCGCAATCCCCCAGAGTCTATTTTCTGTGGTTGGTTAGCAAGCTGTAGTTTCTCAACCCCTAGGATTTCCACTGGCAGCATGACTAAGCAAAGCAGGAGAAGCAGAACAACCACTTTCCCGGACGTGCCATGCCGTCCGGGGTCATCAGTCTCCTTGACCATGTCAGAAGGCACACCTTTGCAGTTGGTCCCCAACATAGCCGGGCGTGGTAGCACGCGCCCACAGTTCCAGCTACTTGGAAGGCTGAGGCGGAAGGATCACCCTGAGTCCCGCAGGTAGATGCTGGGGTGGCTGTGAATGTGCCACTGCACTCCAGCCTGGGCGACAGAGTAAGACTCCAACTCAAAAAGAAAAAAAAAGTGTATTTTCCATCCTTGGGACATTTATTTTCTTTCTAATCACCTATCTTGGGGTCATACTTCTCTAAAAGTTACCTTCACCTTCATTTTAATTGATACCCAGTTGTCTTCTGAGGATTTCTTCCTCTGTAGTCCTCTCAAGGTTTTCTCTCACAACCCACTTGTATTGGTCCAGGATGAAGTGTTGGGTATCCTTCTCCCTCCTGTTGCTATACTCTCATTGGGAAAGCAGTAAGAAATGAGGATAGAAAAGTATTTCGTGGCCTTCCTCTCCCCTTCTGCTTTTGTCTTTATTCTGAAGATTTCAGTATTCATGAATCCTAGCTGCTCAGTTCCCTTACTTAGATCTTCTTGCCTCCAATAATCACATCCCCTTCTCCACTCCCATGGTCATAATCTAGCCAATGCCTTTTCT